CCTTCCTTTGACCTGGTCACTCCTGAAATCCTAACCTTAGTGCACACAGTCTGAGGTGTATTTGCGTATGGGCCAACAGCCAAACCCTTGGTTACACCCCATGATCAAAAAAGGGAGACATAGGCAGCTTTTGAATGTCTTCTCGAGGGTTTGATCTGAGGCACTGATGCTTCTTTGCTGTGGCTGGTGGCATGAACTCTGGTCACCTGGAGGGCTGGCCTGCCCTTCAGAAGTGCTGGACCGCAAGGTCAGTGGGAGCCTACTGGGAGCTGTGGCTGCTCGATCCCTTTGGTAGGTGGAAGTGCTATGTACTTTGGCACAGGTGAGAACATGTGCTCTGTTGGTTGGATTCAGTGCCAGTGCCCTAAGCAACCTATAGAGTTTTTATGATGTTAGGCAGAGTGTGCCAGATAAAGGGGCAAATAGTTTTGTTTTAAGTCGTAGCCCGGGGCAGCAGGATGCCACAGAGCCCCTCTGAAATGCAGCTGTGTTAAGTGTTGGAAGTTTTGCAGTCCAACTGCATGACGTGGTACACCACACAGCGATGCCAGAGGGGTGAAATTCCCTCTGGAGATATGAGGGCAAGAATTTACCCCTTATGGAGAAAACATCGGGACCTTTAGCTGCCCGACAGATGGGGCACTGTCTGGTTCTCAGCCTATTCACCGTCTGAAGAGTAGAAGCTCAATTTGTCCTGCTGTGAGTAAGAGATGTGGTTCTCGGAGAGAGGGCAATGCACACCTTTCACACCAGACAGGTAAACTCTTACTTGTGAGATGTTCCCTGATTTCACCTGGTGCCCAAACACTTGGGAAACCGTGTCAGTGCACAGAAGCACAAATTGCAGCAGTAGGGAGGCCACTGAGGGTCTCCCAGAGTCAATGCTTGGGTGTAGCTCACTGCTTTCTTGGAGCACCGTTGCATGGCCTTCTCCTCCAGGCTCTTCTCCGCCTGGTACACGTAGGGTTGATTTAGGGCTGGGGAGTGGCAGGTGTTGCCTGCAACCTCCAGGGACAGAGCGGCCCCGGAATAGCAGGTAGCAAGTGTAAGGATTGGTCTCAGCCCTCTCCTTCACCCGGTAGCTGAATTGGCCATGTGACCTGTAAGCGTGCTCCTTGCAGGGATATTTTGTTGTGGTTTTATGTCTGTCCCTTGGTAGACAAGAACTTGGGAGACAACTGTACAACTCCACAGGCTTGAGGGTATGGGAGATCCAATTTCCATCTGCGTTCTCAGCTCCCCGCCTTGTCCCCCTATGCCTGCGCTGCTCCCTGTGAAGCTCTGGCTTCCTCTGTTTACCCAAATGTGTGACGCTGCCACGCTCCGGTGTTTGTTCAATCCCTTCCAGCTCCTGATCCCACTGAAGTCCCAGGAAGATTTGGACAAAGCGATGGAACACTTGGAGCTAAGCCCTTCCCTGAAGAGCCTGCGGATCCTTGTGAGCGCTCCAAAGAAAGCAAATGTGAGCTGGTCACCTCTGCTCTTGTGTGTCCGAAGCGAGATGCCTTGTTATAGCGTTGGGGAGTAGAAATGAGCCTCCTGACAGCAGGGAGCTGAGGGCGAGCCGGTCCCGAGGGGGGCCCGCCCTGCCCTGGCTCGGCTGGCACATAATAGTCCTCTGCATCTGCAGCCCAGAGGCAAGCGGCTGCTGTTCAGCTCCTCCACTAGCTCCTCCTGCAACCTGGGAGGGGTTAAATACTGTGTGAGTGCTGAAACAAGGTGAAACGCCAAGGGAACCCCCTGTGCTTTCTGCTGAGGGATGCTGCAACCATTCCGGTGTAGCTGTGTCCACGTACAGGACGCGTGCACTGGCCCTTGCTATGCAACGCAGCAGTGTGGTGCTGAAACCCTAAAGGCCAGGGAGATCAAAGTAGAGAATCCTTCAGTCTCTTGCAGAACTGTCTCTCTCTTTTTTTTTTTCCCCCTGCCTTTTTTTCCTGAGCTCCGTGGTTTTGCAGTTAAGCCTGCTAGCTTGACCTCGCGTGCACAGCGCGTCTTGCCAAAGCACATATCGTGCTGCCCCAAGCACAGACTGTAAAGCAAGGGATTTGCAGATGTTGCAACACTTTCTTCCTTGCGTTTCCTAGAAGTACGGAGAGGGAGACTGAGAGTCTTGAAATGCACAGTGCTTGTCCTTGCGCTACCACTGGTGCTCCGAGCTCCCGCGGTGTGTCTGCTCCCTTTGGGAGGCTCTCCAACGAGCAGGGCCCGGAAGCCCAGAGGAAAACTGAGCGGTCAGTTGGGGTTTCAGAAGTCCTGAGCAGAAATGGGACAATCTTCACTAGCAACTGCAGTAACGTTGCAATATTGCGCATCAGCCACTAATGGCAGGGCAGCCAGGTGGTTTCATGCATACTTTTGAGGGCAGACCCAGCTTCGCCTGAAGCATACAACCGTTCTCCTGCATTTACGGACCTGTGGTTCTGGAGGTCGTACGTAAAATTATCACAAAACCACAGTGCATGGCGGCATATTATCTCACTAAGAATTGGCTGCTTACCAGTGAAGTTACCAGCTGCACACGCGATTCTCCTTTGCTCTTCCCCTTGTCTGTCTTCCCTAGCAGGACTGCATCTGCTGCGTTACAGAAGACCTATACAATGCTTAGGATTATAAATACAATATAAATAGAGCTGCTGCCACTGAAGTCGAGGCAGTGCAGAGGAGAGGCTCAGGTTTTGTGACAGCAAACTTAGATTCAGAGCAGGAACCAGTCCCTCTTATCTACCTGGAAATAACGCAGTGCACTGATACCCAGGAAGTCTTTTATGTCAAATATTTGTCTTTTATCACTGTGAACAGGGACTCAGTTTTTACATTACTTAGAGTATTTTAATAATAGAGCAGAATTGTTTGTGGATTGTTTTAGATTACTCTAGATTCCACTTACGTCTTTTTTTTTGTTTGTTTTGAGGGAGAATGGTCGGATTGGGGAGCCAAATACAGGCTTTCCCACGGCGTGTTTGGAAGGGCCCTGGCCTCTGGCAGAGCCTGATCATTCCCTTTGTCTGATTCCCAGCTCCTGCAGCCGAACAACAGTAAACAGCACGAAATGAGAATCTCCAGATCCATGGGCGATATCATGGGATCCCTGTACAAAGACTCCGAGAGGACGCGGAAGTATTCCACAGGTGGGTGAAATGCAACGCTCTGCGGGGTGCGTTATGCTTTTATAAACTGGACCACCTTCCACTTTCTGTCTTCCCCCACAACCCCTGTAGCTGTCACGGTTTGCACTGGCACCCCGATGTCTCCTCCCAGGAGCTCAGTGCAGCCACTGCTTATCTCTCGGCCTGCGGAAGAGCTTCTGCAAGCTGCACAGGTTGGACGTGGTTGTGATGAGCGGGAAGTCTGCATGAAAGCTAAGGGAAAGCAGGGCATCTGAGGTGTAGCGTGAGGAGGAAAATGCAGTGATAAAAGCTTCTGATAAAGTTGGTGCTGCTGAGTTGCATCATAGTCAAGAGTGAGGAGCTGCAGATAGCCTAGGATTTTCCAGTATGTCCTTCTTTACATACTCTCTGCAGCTCTCTCCCTTTCCTAGGTGGGTGAATGTGGCTGGCTGGGCTTAGCCTCCTTAGCTCCTGAGCTGAGCCTGCCTCTCCCACAGGTCCAGGTCCTCCTGGCTTTACGGGAGTTGCCTATGCCTCTCAGTGGCCTGAGGGCAAGATGTGTGTCTAAATGTTGCTGATCTGCTCTTGGTGGTGGTGAAATGGAGTCTGCAATGGTTACCTCTGTGGTTTCTTAGGCAAATGGAGGTGTGTGGTGTTTTGTGGTGGTCACTGTTCAAACGAAAGGAACCATCCCTGCTCTTTATAAGCGCTAGGAGCGGACACCTGCTCGCTCTGAAGCCAGGCTGGCAAACGCCTTGTCTCCTCGTGGCCCTGCAGGGACTGCTGTTTGTTCTTAGCCTTGTGTGGCCTTTGCTTTGGTTTTCTGTGCTTGAGTTTGTGCTTTTCTTTTTTTTTAATACATTGAACTACTTGAAATTATAGGTACTCTTGATAACCACTGTTTGTAGGACCTTTTGTGCAAAGAGCCTTGTGGGACCTTACAGAGAACAGCGTGCCACGTACAGAACCGGTGAAGCAGTCCTTAGGACTGTGTAGCAGGCGTATAATTCATGTTGCAACCTCTAGGCAGGCCTGATGATTTTATCTTACTCTGAATGTTCTCTGCTGCATCTGTGGGAGCTGGTTACAGGGTAATTTCTACAGAGCCCTATCATTTTCTTCCCTTTATTTGAGAAGTGTAGAAATGACAGCAGCGGAGGCCTTGAACGGAGCAGGGCCCTCCTGTACAAATATGTGTAAAGATATACTTCATCCTCCAAAGATGTTCCATATCTGTATGGCAGTAAGCACTTCCAGACTGTTTTCTCTATGCAACAAAGAGCATTCCTCTCTAAGGAGGTTTCTGTCTGATAGCCTGTGCTGCCTTAATAATGCAGGCTGCAGTTTGTTGTATCTCGGACAATGACATATAGGAAACAGTTTCCAAGAGTAGGTCCAGTTCTGCGCTTGGCACACGCATGCCCAACTCTTTGTGAAGCCAGGGGGTGGGTGGTATGTCCGCAAGAGCTCTTTGGTCACGTTGTTTGGATGTGCCAGGGATATCTTTTCCTATTGTCTTTTTTTTTTCTTTCAAAGCCATGTGAGCTAGAAAGAGACTTTACCCAGAGTCACTACATGATTCTGAATGACATGCACACACGAACACGTGGTAAGGCACAGAGCCTCAGCAGAAACTGTGCTTGAGCAAAATAACGTCTCTACTGCTGCTTTTTTGTTGTTGTTGTTTTTTTGGCACTTGTTAGGCTGTTAATGTAAGCCAGTCAAGAGCTATGGCACTGGGAGCTGTCACTGGTGTATGATCCAAGCGTCATGGGCAAAACCGATCCCATGTGTAGCTATGCTTCAATAGCCTCTCCTTACTGTTTTGGGGCCACTGTAATACCAGAAGAGTCCCTGACCTGGTCTGTGCCACTGCCCGAGTAGTCAAGAGCATATGGTAATAGCCTGAATAGCCGAGTGGAGGAATAGTTGTAGCACATACTGGTTTAATCTAGGCAGCGTTAACAGGATGACTGGGCTGTACCAGGTGTTGCAGGCAGAGCTGCTGCGGAGGCTGCTTGCTGATTGCAAACAGGCACAAAAAACTCGGTCCTCGGTGCCCTGGTATAGTGTAGGTGGCAAAGGTGACTAGTCCCTGCTGCAGGCGTCCCTCTACTTCTGCTTCACAGACCCCAAATCTTGCTCCTAATTTGCTAGAGAGGTGACGACAAACCCTCTGCATGTTAACAGCACGCCAGATTTCTCTTTGGAGTTAGCTGGCGTCTATATGAAGGTATTAGAGCCCTGCTTAAGGTGCTCACAATCCAGCAGATTTTGGTTTTTGCTTTTTGTTTTCTATTTTAACACCTCCTGAGTCAGAACTGGGTAGTTTAGTAGCTGAGCAGACGCTCCAGTGAGCTGCAAGGGGGGGTATCGTTTCAGATGGAGCGCAAAACTGGAGGTCAGGCCTTAAATGGACAGGGGTGATGCTGTGTGTGCTGTGTTCCTGGGATGGGGGATTTTACTAAACTTGGTGAATAGTTAAAAGGCAGCCTAAGAGACTGGGATTTCAGTAGGAGAAACTATCCTTCTCTTGCAGTTGCAAAATATTTCAGTGTTTGCTTCTGCTGTCATCAAATGAGGATCAAGTAAGGATCTTAACTCAGTCCAGCTTTTCTCTTAAAACCACATTTACAAGGAGATTTTAAGTGGCTTAATAAAAAAGGTGATTCAGGGTCACGTTCTCAGCGGTTCTGAGATGTCTCGTGTTTCTTTGCTGACTCTGCCATGTCAATGGGAACAAAAAATAATAAAACTGTATGTTGTTGGCACGAGCAGATTGGAAGAGGGTAGATGTTCTGGGGAAGAACTGGCTATTTTTACGTCTGCTGGACAGCAAACTTCTTCACTCCCTGTCCTTGAAAAACCTTATGCTAAGTCAAAATATATATATATATTTATATATTTTTTTCAGGTTTTCTGATAACTGACGGTTGTTTTTGTTTACTTTGAGGGAATATGTTTCACAACATCATCCCCAGAATATTCAAGAACCCTATTCCGGAATCAGCATTTCAGGGAAAACAAAGCCAAAAGCTTTGCTTATTTACTTATTTCTTTTTTCCACGGTGGCAAGCCGGATTGCTGAGCCACGGCACCGTGTGCCTGCCCACCCCTCTGCAGACCGGGCGCTAGAGCTAGCCGAGTCGGGGCTGCCCAACGCGGACC